TTAGCAATCTAATCTCTCGATGAGAAGCAACAAAACTTCCAGCTTGCTAGAATTTAAGTTTGATGGATTCCCATCGAACTAAATGTAATGAAGAGAATAAAACTCTCAAACAAAAAAGGATGATGGAATGTCCATCGGTTAACTTGAATTAGATACACTAGTCTCGATGAAAGGTCTAGAAAGGTCTCGATGAGTGTAACATCGGGATGAGCTTATATCTTTAAAAATGTCAATATTTCACAAGATACAAGGTCATTTCTTAATTATTTATTATCTAGAGATAGAGCATTTTTGAATACAGCTAACTTAATTATAATTTAAAAATTTAATATTTCAGAATTTAAAACATGATATTACTAACAACCCACACTTTCATCCCGAAGATGAAGCTTCAGTATCAAGTTCACCAACTTCAATAAGAAAACTGGACTTCAAATTAAATGATAAAATAAAAGGAATAGTTCAGTGTAATTTCAATGAATATAAATCATGGACTCAAGATAGATTAAGTATTGATTATTTAATTTTTGAAGAATTCGGCAAGGAAGAGTCCAAGAAATTCAAAGTCAGCCCAGACGCAGTGATGCAGCTGGCGTTTCAACTGGCTCTTTACAAGAAAGAAAAAAGGGCTGTAGCGACCTACGAATCTTGCAGCACCTCAGCTTTCATACATGGACGTACTGAGACAGTGAGATCGTGTACGAATGAAACCAAAGCACTTTGCAAGGCTATTGTTGAACATGGAGCTTCCTCAGTCGGTGATGATGAGCTGAAAAAATTGATGTTAGAATGCAGTAAGGCGCACAATAATCTCATGAAAGAAGCTGCGATGGGCCAGGGCTTTGATAGACATTTATTCGCTTTGAGGAAGATTGTTGAAGAGTCTGAGGGTATCAGAATGCCTCTTCTGTTTAAAGATCCAGCTTATGAAAAATTAAATCACAATATTTTGTCTACTTCGACTTTGTCCAGTCCAGAAGTTATGGCTGGAGGATTTGGACCAGTTGTCGAGGATGGATATGGCATTGGGTATTTTATTTATGATTAATTATATTGGGCCAAGATTTTTGCTACAATTTTAAAATAAATTGTTTCATTTTTTAATATTTGAAACAAAAATATAAATTTTTGAAACAAAAGTAAGAAATTTAATTTAAGTTGCCAATTATTAATTTTTAACTTCTTGTTAAATATAATTTACCAAAAAGTCAACAATTTTTAATTTTTTTTGGGTAAAAACATTTTTTTTAGAAAATTAAATTTCCTACTTTTGTATTAAAAATTTTTATAGGACCAATATTTTCGCCGCAATATAAAAAATTAGACATTATAATTTAAAAATTTTGCCCTTTATTTTAATTTATGACTTAAATTTTTTTTAATTAATTTTAATCAATGAATTTATTTATTTCTAGATATATGATCCAAGATCACAAGCTAAGCTCAGTAGTGACGTCTTACCGAGACCACCGAGACGCTTCAGAATACATTAAGTATTTAAAATCAGCATTTGAAGATATCCATAGGATTTTAAAGAGTAAATAATAAATAAGTATTTTGTTTATAACTATTTATCAGTGCTTTCAATAGCATTTGCATACATACATACATTTAAATATATATATTTTTTAATACTTTTTATAATTATAACCGTAATTATTATCGAATCTTTTATTTACTATTGTTACAATTTATGTATTACGACGTTGTAATAACCCATGTGAGTTTGTAAACTAAATTTATTATTGTGCAATTACATATATTTTATTATTAAAATCTATAAGTATTTAAATGAATTTATTTAATTTAAAAGGAAGATC